AGTGGGAGGGGAGCTGCTGCATTGTAAATTTTGGTCAATGACATGAGACAAGGTATATGTGAACTGCTGTATGAAAGGTGAATTTACTCTGTAAATCTTCACCCAAATCCTAAAAAAAAAAAACAAAAAAAAAAAAACAAAACAGGGGCCAATCAAGTTCTGGGTTTCAACATCTAAACATTAAAAAATTAATATTAATTATTTATCATTGTGTGTTATATTAATATATATGATATAAATAGACTCAATATTGTTTCTTAATATTATATTAAACATTTATACATTTTTAAAAAGTTAGCCATCATATGCTTTAAAAAGTATGTTCTGGTCTCTGCTTTGCTGGTGCTGGGAATCCAGAGTTGACTGAGAATGGCTGAGGGCCCCACTCAACATGGCCTGTCTCATTGTAGAGCTAAGAGGGACTAGGGAGCCCACCTCCTTCAGTTTCTCACTGATGGGAACATGAGGGGCACTCTCCACTCCCAGTGGAGACCATGTCTCTGGGTGGTGCAAATGGCTTACACACGCAGCACTAACTGAAAGTTTGGAAGGTCCAGTCAGCCCCGAGATAGCTTAGAAGAAAGACCTAGTGATCTAGTTCTGAAAAATCACCATTGAAAACCCCGTGGAGCACAATTCTAGTCTGGCACACATGGAGTCACTGTAAGTCAAAATGGACTTGATGGCACCTGTTTTTTTAGTAGAGATCATAGAAGGAGACCAAACCATCTTTCCTTTAATGCAAGTGGAATTGTTCCTCATGGTTCAGTTTGAGGTGTGGATGGGCAGATACCATTAGGCCTGGAAATAAGTGAGAACATTATTTGAATTTGGAAAATTCATATTTCTTAGATCTCAGTTAAGTTTGATAGACCGGAAAGGCTAGGCTGGAATGCATAGTGGTAGAGAACATTGGCTTTGGAGCAGGGTGGCCCAGGACTGGACCACAACTCTGCTCTTTCTCATCTTCAAATTCTATATCTCCTCCTATCCATTGACGGAAACTAAAACAAACCAGTTGCTGTCAAGTCAGCTTTGACTCATGGTGGCTCTGTGTGTGTCAGAGTAGCACTGTGCTCCATAGGGGTTTTTTTTGCAGCATTTTTTAATTTTTATTTTATTATTATTATTTTTTTATTGTGATTTGGGTGAA